AGATAATTTTTTCTAAAAAATAAGAAGTGATATGTTAATACTTTGTATAATGCGTAAAATATTAAAACCCACCCGTATATTTTTATTTTACTTTTACCAATTTCAAGTTAGTTTCCATTGATTACCTTATTTGTTTTATTATTTTTGTATCATTTTAGTTACATTTCTCATTTTTTCATTTTTTATATCTATTATTTTTATTTTTTAAACTAAGACTAATCTTTAAAAAAGGAAAAAGAAATGACGATGAAGGTAGAAAGTAATTTAAAAAATTTAAATGAAAAATTTAAAAAAATAAAAAAAATGAAAATTCATCAAAAATAATCCCAACTTTCATTTTGTTGCCTAAAATGGGCATTTCCGTTAACCCTCCGTTAGAAACTTAACGGCGATCCAAAACTGACAAATTTCAGTAAAGTTGGGATTATTATGCATCACAGTGAAAGGTGGGATTATTTTTGAAAGACCGGGTAAAGTTGGGATTATTTTGGGTAATTTTTCCATAAAAATAATACACTCGTATTTTGGTATTTTAATGACATTTTATTTCTGTATGGGGACACTTCTTACAAAAAATAGTTTTTTTGGGACAAAGTTAATTTTTTTATTATTAGAAATTTTAAAATACTATGTAGAGTATAGGATTTTTTAGAGTGGGTTAAACTATAAAGAATTGGAATTAAACAAATGCTCTATCCATCCAGAATAATCTTCTATCTTTCATTTTCCGTATCTAAAATTAATCTTATCATTTTAATTATTTATACACAAACTACCCAAAATATTCCCACCTAATTTACCCTTCTTTACCCCTCTCTCTCTCTCTCTCTCTCTCTCTCTCTCTCTCTCTGAAGAGCTACTGTATTCCAATATTAAGTATATAATTTTGTTTTGATATGCGTTGGTAGCGGGAAACTGTGAGCATCAACTTCTTTATAATAGAATATTAGAAATCAAGTTTGGTCTTAAATTTTACTCTTTTCCCAAATTAATCATCATGTTTAATTTTTCACATAATATAAGAAAAAATAATGTGGACTATTTATTCCATTCCCTCGAATTAGAAGTTTATTTTGGACAATGTAAAAAGAAAAGAGGATTAATTTGGAAGGATGAAGTGCATATAGATTGGGTCTTTGCGGTTCAATATAATCGAAGGTCAAACATTGTTATGTTTGGTCTTCCGTCCACAATTTTTAAGATAACTTTAGCCGTTTAAAAGTATTTAAATCGGGTGTTAAAAATCTAAAGTGACTTGGAGGTATTGCAAGTTTAAAAAAAAACTTACACCGAGCGTTTGTATTTTAGTGAGATCGTAAAAAACTTTATGGCCAAGTGCAAGAAAAAAACCTTATATGTTCCTTGAGACATAAATGCATTATTGGATCTCTAACCATGATGAGAAGTTTAAAACGCCAAACATGCATTTTTTTCTTAATGGGTAACAAAAGGTTATTAAAAAAACAAACTTATATACATTTGTTCATCTGGCATCAGATATATTTCAATTGATGATAAAATGTTACCATCCCTTGAGGACCAAATAAATACTGCTTGGCTATGTCATACTACGGTGAACTTTGAAAGGACTAAAACCATATTTCCAGTGGTCATGACCATATGCATATAATCCCACTCTTATCAGACGTTGCCAAGGGCTTACCTAGGCCACTCCATGTACAACAAAGAACCGGAGCAGAGTGTTCTTTCAACGTGCTCACCATTTTACCATTCGAGATTGACCATACATGAATCGATCCATCAGCAGACCCGGCTGATACACAGCTGTCGTCTGCACTGAGGCATGACCGGCTCCAGTTAGATGCAATCCGGTTGCCACTTGCTTTGAACGTGCCACATAGCTCAAGAGTGCGAATATCAAACAGATTGTGCAAGTTATCCCTCCCACTTGTCAGTATCAAATTCCCATTTCTGGACAAGGACATGGATGTCACAGCCTGGGAATGTGCAGCAACTTCACTCACAAGCTTCCCTGTTTGAAAATCCCAGAGTCGAATGTTTCCATCTACATGACCAGAACAGATGGTCTGCCCATCCTGGCTGAAACAGAGGCTGTTGCAGTTGCTGTGGAAAAGAATTGTGTTCATGCAGTATCCTTTCATCAGGTCCCAAACTTTTATGGTTCGATCATAAGCTGCACTTGCCACATGCCGACTTGAGCATTTCCCCACATCTACGGCACAAACTTTGTCTTTGTGGCCGGTGAGAGTGTGCCGTATCCTGCCGGTGCCAACGTCCCACACATACAAGTTGTTTGAACTGGTAGCTGCAATGATTGATCGATTATCGTGTGTTATAGAGAGATCAAGAACAGAGCCCAAACCGCCATAAAGTGTGTTGCTTAATGACCCAGTGTTAGTATCCCACACTTTAATTGTCTGATCCTGCCCGCCACTAACCAATGTGCTTGAGTTATATTCAAACATGATAGAAGCACAGCCCCCTTCATGAGCAGTGATTCTCTGCTTGCAAGATGTGGGAATAGTTGACTCTGCGTAGTATTCTGCACCCACTTCGCTTCGCCGGACAACCCCATCAACTTGCTGACGAGCAAGTTGCTCTATACTACTGGCCTTGAGTTTATCCAACATCTCTTCGTATAAAGAATTAGCCTAACACAACAAACTAACAGCTTTAAAGCATTAAGAAAAAGAGGAAAACACAATATATAGACACAATGCAGCTTCTACAACGGCATGAAACGTCTGCGTGTCCGGAGAAAAAGTCAAAAATCTAAAAGAGAAGCTCAATTAGAGGACAAGTTGTTCAATTCAGTGTTTGAAATTGTGGAATAAAGCTAAGCCTCAAGGCCTACCCCGCCTTAGTGATCCTTCTGGAGAAGGTAGCCATGAGGCTGAACCGAATTCAAGGTTAGGCTTTTGCACAATATTCTACTGAGATGCAAGTCTCGGACTCCCATTGCTATGATAGTATCGTATCTAATTCTAATTAAATTTGGTTGTGTTGAAACTCACATTGTAAAAGGGCCAGTTTATACAAAAACAATTCCTACCAAGGCTGCACAAAGATATTGACTGTGATGCATCAAGTTCTCGTCTACAACTCTCTTCAGACATGAGGATCTCTTCTTTCTACCCTAACTCTTATATTTTCTTCAAGTATTCATCTCCTCGTCACGTTATGTGATAAACCTAGTCTTCTTATTTGTGTTTTAATCTACAACTGGAGACTGATGCATTGTTGCACTACTTGCTCTTTCCCATAAGTTTCTCATATCAGGCAATATTTGATCCTATGTGATGCTTGAACAGTTGAACATACTTGGTTTTGGAGGTGTTCTGGCTTCTTTGGATTTTAATGAATAATACATATCTTATTATACTCCCTTCGTCCCAAAATAAGGTTCAAATCGTGGTTTACAATGTTTGGCTAAAGTTATTTCTATTCAATTTATTTAAAAATTGGCGTAAAATAAAAAAATATTCCTTCCGTCCCAAAATACCTTGCACGGTTTGACTTGCATGTAGGTTAAATGGTTAATAGTAAAAGTAAAATAGAGTATGAATTGTGTAGAGAGAAATAGGTTGAATTGATGGAAATGTAGAGGAAAAAGTAGATAGAATAGTTGATGTGAAATAAAGAGAATTACTAAAAATAACAAGTCTGCAAAGTCATTTGAAAGATCCAAAAAAGGAAGTGGTAAGCATTGGAGGGAGTAAAGTTTATACGGAGTATATTTTAAAACTACTTCAAAGGTTCTACAAAATAAGAGGTGACCTAATAATTATTTAATTTTATCAAATGATCGATGAAAATATGTAAGGAAAGAAGATATAATTTGACAGTTTTGACCATGTGAAATAGTAATCATTCACCTGATTTTGAGACGGATAGAGTATTATCTTTACTCTATTTTTCTTGTTAATATGTAATTATTTTATATGAATTTAAATTAAAATTAATAAAAAACTTAATACTCCGTAAAATTTAAGAAATTTCATAGTCAAACCCAACAATAAATATCTCATAAAACTGTCAACGTTCTAGTGTTCAAGCATCACATAATATCATTTACTCCCTTCATCCCAAGACAACTTTACATTGTGGATTGTCCCTACATAAATTTCTCATTCCTTTTAAGAAAAACATTGAATGGTTCACATTGTTTCTATCCTTTGCATAGATTTCAACCATACAATTTCACATTTTCTTAAACTCCATGAAAAAGCAAATACTCCGTAATAAGTTTAATGTGAGATGGAAGGAGTACTATAAACTCAATGCCATCGAACTCAAGTAGTTGGAATTAAGGTGTGATAAAGATGATGATGGAGTGTGTGTGTGTGTATTAGTATGAGTATTTTTGTCTTTTGACTATATATTCCGTTTGTTCTGTACACTAGCCAAATAACTACATACGACTCCAATTTAATTCCTTTTTTAGTTATTTCATTAATGATGGAATCATATCCTTATCAGTTATCCCCTTTATTTTTGTTATATGAATGAAATGCCACATTAAGGATATATGAATATGAAAAGGTAAAGTACAGACCACAAAATATATGGTAACTAGTTCCAGTTTATTGGGCATGCACACTGGATAACAAAAAACACCACAAAGACTAATGATTTTTAGTAGGTACAAATCACAATACCTCATTAAGGCGTTCAGCATCTTGCATTTTCTGTAGCATCCAACGATCAACCAACATCTTATTTTCTGCCTCAGCCTTGTCAGCTTTCTCGGTCATTTCTTCAAGTTTTGCTTTAATGTCTTGGTGCTCACTAATAACCAATTCAAGAGCCTTGTTCTTCTTTTCAAGAAGTGCATTTAGGCTAGAACACTCATCCCTGCAAGTGACAAAGAAGTTCAAATTATTGCAACAAAAGTTATAAGTAACTTAGCCTAAATCATCAGCAAGTCTGATCATCACCATTATCATTATCAGCATCTTAATTCATACTAGTTGGGGTGCATGGCGTTTTGATAATGCCAATTAATTGGCATCATCCTGTCCCGCTGATAGTAATCATAATAATTACATTAATAATAATAACAATAATAATATATAAATATTAATAACAACAACAACAGTAATAATAATAAGAGTAAATTCCCAAAATGGTCCTTTGTAATAAGGTATTTTCTCAATTCAATCCTCAATAAGTTCTAATTACCTACGTGGTCCTTTATAATTGAGATTTATTCCTCAGGTAGTCCTTTGTAAATAATGTTACTCAAATGATGATTAATTAAAGAGTATTTTAGTACTTCTATCATCAAAATTTAAAGTATATTCTCAAAATGGTCATTTCTATACATTTAAATTTAAAATTAAAAAATACATTGACTATACATAATACATGAATTATTAAAAACCTATTAAAAATCTTTTAAAATTCAAATCAAATACACATCTTTAATTAGAAAAAATCATTTTGGGAAAGCACTTCATTAGAAATAATCATTTTAAGAACTTCTTCTAAATCCAGTTGATAAAAAATATCTAAATACCCCCAATTAATCATTATTTGAGTAACATTATTTACGAAGGACTATTTAGGGAATAAATCCCAATTATTGAGGACCATGTAGGTAATTAAAACTTATTAAGGACGGATATGGGAAAACACCTTATTAGAGAGGACTATTTTGAGAATTTACTCTAATAATAATAACAAAAACAATAGTGATAATAATCATAATAACAATAATAATAATTATATTAACAACAACAACAATGCTCCATAATTATAAATTAATAACAACAACAACAACAATACTCTGTAACAACAACAACAACAACAATAATAATAATAATAATAATAATAATCAAGTTATAACTGCAACCTAAACTCTTTAACAATCTATTACGGAGTATTTGTTATTTCACCAATCACTTGCAGCCTTGTTTATTAAGATGCATTAGGTACACTGACATTTCATTATAACAATTCCATTTCCTTTTTTGTGGCCACGTAACCCACGTTAGTATTATTTTCCACTTTCCTGAACAAGAAAATTGATAGTTCAATATATTCATATATCTCTAATATCTTTCCAGAGGTGTTCTAGTCTTTCATTAAACTCGTGAATATATCTTTTGAAATTGAAGAGCATAAAAGGATAGAACGGTATTTGAACAATTTTTTTAAACAACCATGCAAGTGAATAAGAGAGTATATTGAAATGAAATTAGTGTTATAGTTGTGCTAATTAGTATTCCCTTCATCTCAAAGATAATGTCCCAAACACGTTTGGCAGAAAGGTTGAGAAAAATATATCTTTATTTTCGCCAACTCATTTTTTAACATTTTAGGAAATGGGACATCCTAGAATGGAAATTCGACATTATCCTTGGGATGGTGGGAGTATAAGCTTTCTTATTGCATCAAAAAAAACAAATTTGTGGTTGCAGAACTCGCTTTACCACATGAAATATAATAACAGTTTAGAATAAAGTGGGTATCAAAGAAGAGACCTTGCTTTGCTAAGCTCATTTTGCAAGTCAGTAATTATAGCTTCCTTTTCTTGAACTAGAGCTTTTGAAGCTCTAGATTCGGCCACTTCAACAACAAGCTGCTCTGACAAACGAGATTGAGCTTTATAACATTGTTGAAGCTCTACTTCAAGATTTTCGGCTTTCTCTTTCCATTCTGAGCCCTGTCATAGCATGTAACAGATTACATAAATCTTAATTTAGAAATTAGGAACAGAACTATAGCACACAAATCATGCATTATGTAAAAAAAAGAGAAAGAGCACATACATTTAACAAACAGTGTTTTTCTAACATCAGAAACAAATATATTTAAGGGTCTTTAGCTCAAATGCTTTAGATCCTAGAAATGAACAACCCAAATCCCACGAAAGGGGTCGTGGGAGGGTGCGTGTAAGCAAACCTCCCCCGTACCCTAGAATGTATAGAGGCCGTTTGCGAATGCCGAACGATCACCGGCTCAAGCACAAAAGACAAAGGTTAGTATAGTTAGATCCTAGAATTGAACAGAAAAAAAGAAAGTTGATTGTTTTTTAGGTGCTCCTAATCCGATTTGTACGCATCTATAGTAGCTATTATTTATTCCCGTGTCCTTTTCAGGGTTTTATAACCCTACATTCTGATCGTCTCTACTACTTACAAACATCTCTTGTATCCTAATCCAACAAATGAAGCTTAGCGGCAGAGTTCTAATCCTCTTTCTCTGAATCCTGCTTCTCAAACTTACTCCTCCATCATGAGCTTCAAAGTGTAAACGTGTGTGGTTTGCCAATGAAGACAAGTAAATGAGTTTCAACCATAAAAAATTAGGGTTTTTTTAAATGTAAAGAAACTTGTAGCAGCCTACTACTGCAACAATTATAACATCAACATTACCCCAGTGCCTCAAAGGCTCTTGCCTATTGCAGGGTAAGGGGGGGCCAAATGTGCGCAGCCTGAACTCTATGCTTAATGGGGCGGTATTTAGCAGCCTATCATTGCTTTAGTTGAAAATTCAAGCCGTGGTAGAGCATATGAGAAAAATTAAAAGCAATAGCTTTTACGACGACAGAAGAGTGTGGGAAGTGGGTCTCGCATAAATTTTAGTGTATTTATTTCTTACATTGTTTTTATTCTTAAAACCATGTTCATATATACAACAACAAAAATCATAGTAAGGTCCCACAAGCGGGTTCTGAGTAGGGTGGATATACCCAAGACTTTCTCCTTACTTATAAGGGCAAGGCCCTTCTGAAAGACCCTATGCTCAAAAAACAAAGTACCAAACTACTCCAAAATGCATTTCAATTACACCCTCCGTCCAAGTTGAAACTTCTCGTTTTGACTTGGCACAGTTTTTAATGTGGAATGGAAAATGTTTGACTTTCCTGTTTTGCCCTTCACCTTTTCTCCTTCTCTCCACCTTATCTTCTGCTCTTCTTCTTCGTCGTCCATCTGACCCCCGCCCCCACCTTCCCCGTTCTTCTTCTTCTTCACTGCCTCTTCATTTTCTCTCCTTTTTCTTCTTCTTTTTCACAGTCCGTACCCCATTTCCTTCTTTTCCTTCTTCATCTTCAACCTCATTAAACAAAATTTCAAAAAAAAAAATTAAGGTTAAGCCATATAAAATTCAAAATCTAAGTTTCAGATCTAAGAAATTGAAGAAATAAAAATCAAATATACTTTTCAAATTTTGGATATTGAAGAAGTTTAAAAAAGAAATATAGGTTTCACATCTAAGACATTGAAAAATTAAAAATCGCATCTATACTATAAATTTAAGAAATTGGAGCAAGAGAAAGAAGGAAAAAAGAGAAATGGGATATCTGACGGTTGGACAAAGAAGAAGAAGAAGAAAGACGGGGGATCTGACGCAAAAATAGAAGGAGAAGAAAAGAAGACTAAGAGGAAAAAGAAGAAGAAAAAAGGGAAGGAGACAAGTCACGAAGGATGAACGAGAAGAAACAAAGAAAAATGAGAAGAAAATTTGGGAGTGAGAGAATAAAAGAAGAAAGGGTAAAAGAGTAACTTTAGGTGTATTTAAATTCCATTTTAGGAAACGAGAAGAATCAAAAGGGACGGTCCAAAAAGGAAAGTGAGAAGATAGATATGGGACGGAGAAAGAACTAATTATTTGATTCTGATTTCTGTCGCAGTTTCTAAACAAACACTATTAGTACACACTTAATCATAAACCGAAAACCTGACAAACTGTCAATCTACAAAATCTAATGAAACAGCTTTAGCAAGTCTAAAACGAAAGCTTCCAGCTAAAAAGGTAAAACTGAGAGCTGTAAACAAAACAAGATGGTAAGTTTAAGTTAAAAGACCTAATCATGGACAAATATACTGCCACGGCTTTCTCCACACTTCTCTTCACATTTAAAAATCTTAACCTTAAAAATAGAAACAACCATGCCCACTGGCAATGGAGCTAAAAGAGTCAATGCAGCAATGCATCTAGGGTCTAACTGAAATAGTTTCTCTGTTTTTACAGGAGTAAGATTGTGTACATCATGACCACCAGACCCCAACAATGTTGGGATTATACTGGGTTTTTGCTAAAAATAGAAATAATGGTTAGCATTGCATATCCTAGAAAAGCATGACTCATGCAATTGTTGGTTTACATTGAGAAGATAAATTGTACTCCATTAAAGAGTATCGTTCATGATTGTAAACCATAAATCAATAGATATGGTTGATACACATGTTCTGCCTCTTAGTAAATTCATGCTCAAACACGGTCAAAATATCCACAGCTAACCACACTCCACAACTTTAATAAAATATTCCACATACCACTCAACTTTTAAAAGTTTATACAGGTGAAAACTAGATGTTATTGAATAAATCCCTTAATGCATTCAAAACTTTTTTCTCTTAAAGAGTGTTGTTTTTCATCATTTTCCATGGAAAGTGGACCATTTCCCCAAGAAAATAAATCATATTACCTGGAAAATGGAAATTAAAGAAAGGATTAATTTTTGGAACTTAACAAGCCTGTTTTTTAGAGAAAAAAGTCCAAGAGAGAGGGGGTGAGACTTTGATTTCCATCCTCCGCGTGAATACAAGTTCAATGACACTAGTACAGTATAGCGCTTACATACTCCCTTCGTCGCAAAATGATGTTTATGCTTTCCTTTTTGGTTGTCCCAAAATAAAGTTTTACACTTTTCCACTTTCCCTTTAAGGAAATAAACATTTGGCTCTTATAATTTTTCTCTCTTCTAAATAAATTTCTACCACACATCATTCACCTTTCACCTAATGCATTTCACTTTTCTCAAACTCTGAGAAGTCACTTCACTTTGGGATAGAGGAAGCATTTAATGAAGTTCTCAGTTCAACATGCCAATGCTCTCTTCTTCATGATCAATAATGCAGATGAACAATAGAACACTTTTTGGGGATCCAAGAAAGGTGCATACATCCCTGATAAAGCTAAGCGACTGTCATGCTCCTAACACGTTCTGTCAAAATGATACTCTACTTGTGTATGTCTACTATTCTTCATGACTTCATGTTAAAGAATACATACCGAGCTCATGATGAGTGTGGCATTTAAAAAGATTCCATGGAATCTTTTAACTAAAATGGTTTTTTCATTATAGCTTATCCAACTTTTCACCTAGCAAATGTTTCATTTATTTTTCCAGAACTTTAGTTTTAGGAAAACATCAAACAGCCTTAAGTAAGAACAGAGCAGATAGGATAAATTGGTAGTTAAATTCCAGCTCGAAAATTTGAAAAAAAAAATTGTTCCTAAGAAACAAAAGATCAACTTTTTTTTTGGACTCTAACAAAAAGATCTAATCATTCCTATTATGTCAAATTTCAACCTGACGTTCAAATATCTCCATACATCAACTTGTTGTTTCTCTTCTCACTCCCACACTGCAATAATGTCCATATTCCATAAATAGTTTTTGTTCCCTTAAACAAAAGAAACACATTCATATGCCATTGAATTTGATACGGAGTAATAATTCCTCGAAGTAAATATATACTGATGTTCTAATCCCTTCTCAGCGTAGTCATAAGGCTTACAGTAATATTTACTTTTTCATCCCAGGAAATAGTCGCTATGATAACTCTTTCAAGTCTCGTGAATATATAGTTAGCAAAAATTAAAATTACTCTGAACATTATACAGTACTGAAGGTAAATTAAGATCAAATCGAAATCAATCTACGAAACGAGCTGAAAAGTGAGTAAATAATTATGCACATAAATAATTGATACACAGACAGAAATTAGATAAAAAGTAGAATCGGAGAAAACGACGGAACCTGATGAATAAGTGGGCGAGAGAGGGCGGTGAAAGCAGGAAGATGAGCTCCCTCTTCCAGTAAATGCCGCTTCCGGAGTGACTTCAGAGCATGCTTTATGGCCTCCAAGGCAATTTCTTCCATTGCAATATATTCTTCCGAGTTCCGACTGTCAGAACGACAAGGAATATTGGGCAGGTTAAGAACACCGCTAATACCCTTGAAAACTTTTCTTGCCAAGGAGTAGAACTTACAATTAGAATTAGAATTAGGGACTTCAATTTCAATTCTAGTGTTTGGTAACACAAAAATTATGTGGATTTGGAATTGATAGTGCAAAAAATAAATTGGAATTGGCAAAATTCAATTCTATAGAATTCAATCGCATGGAATTTCAATTCCAATTCAATCAATTCCTTATACCAGACGGACCCTCATAGTTTGAATAGAAATGAATTTGAAGCTTAGGGCTTTAAGTCTTCAAACCTTTATTTTTTGGATGTCTGGCATATCAAAATTAATTAATTAGAAACAATTAATTAATTACTGAGACGGACTCGGTGTAATTTTGAAATATTCCTCGTTTGACGAAAAGGTTTATACCGTTATGTAAGATTCGACAGAAAGAATCCAACGGCGCAAACAGTTTTGGATTTGGGGCTCGTGGGCCCGAAAAGTGTGTTTTGGGTCAGGTACATAAGTTAGTTACAGAGCCCAAAACCCAAAACATATAAATAGCACTCTACACGCCCATATGCACGATCACAACCCATAAACTCACGTAACTCTCTCGTCTCTCGTCTCTCTCTCTCTCTCTCTCGTCTCTCTCCCTCTCTCTCTCTCTCTCTCTCTCTCTCTCTCTCTCGTAACCTTCTGTCAACCCGAAGTACACAGCAACGGGAATAGAAACAAAGCACCAGCGCAGGAAAATCGTGCCACTCACGTGATTCGTTGGTATCATTCATAGATTTCTAATCATCGTATTCGAGGTAAGTACGTGGACATCTAACGTATATTTATATTCGTTGGTTTGAATCTTACGTTCGTAGAACCGTTACAATTGAGTTATGTGAAATCCTATGTGAATTATACATTGTTTATGGTTAGGAAGCAATAAACGGCATGGCTAAGTTTATAATGATATTAGAGAATTGATGGAGGATGACTCCAAAAGACACGTCAGCCGGACCCCATCAGCCACGTGGAAGATCTTCTCTGCTCGGCCTGTGAGCTCGGCTCGCCCTCTGGGCTCGGCTCGGCCAAGGAGCGTGATAGCGACCGGCGGATAGCGACCGGCTACGTTGACTGCGCGATAGCGACGGGATGAAAGGGACAACACATCGCAGGTGATGACGCTCGCTAGGCGACGAACCTCGATCCGAGGAACTTTGACTATGTCTATTGTATCCCCTATAAAAGGGGCGAGACCCCCTCATTGTAATGGATCCAAGTTTAGAATAAATAAACTCCTACTTTGCATTCTCTCTCTCTAAGAACTTATATTATTCTTTATTCTTGGTGGTTTATAACCATCAAATTGGTGCTTTCATTAAGAGCTGAGGAACGTACTCGTAGGTTAACTCCCGAATGCGAGAATGGTGCAAACAAGGAGCAACGTCCCCACCACTAGCCACGTCGGTGGCGAGGAGATCGCGCCGGGCAGCGGCAACGGCACGAGTGGCATCGCTTTGACTCCGGACACGGTCCAGGCGTTGTTCGGCTTGGGGGTGACCACGGAGCAACTCCAGGTGGCCGTTGCGGCACTTTCCGCCATGAATAACGTGCCCGGCGCCGGAGCTGGCAAAGCTCCGCTCGGTCACCACACCGAGAACGCTGCCACTTCCCAGCACAAGGGGAAGAAGACTCGGAGGAGCAGGAGGAGGCCCGAAAAGGGCCCGATGATCGAGGAGGTGTTGGTGGAGGACATCCCAGAAGGGGAGGACGATGAGGCCAGTGAGTGTAGAGTCTCGGCCTTCAAACGCTTGGGAGGCGAGGAGACCCGAGTGTCGGCCTTCGACCGGCTTAACCGCGGACCGGAAGGCCGCCCAGGTGATCTCCGCCGGTAGATCTCCGAAGGCAGGCGGAGGCACGCTGAGGAATCAGCGACCTCGGATGCACACTTGGCAAGGCCTGAGCGAACCGAAGGCCGAAGGGACGAGCGGACTCAGCGTCGCCAGAGCCCAACCAGAACCGAGAAGACAAAGGTCCCTGAACGGGGTGTGACTGAGCTTGCGCGCGAGATTTCTGAGCTCAAGCGCTGAGTAGAGACGAGGTCCCCCTACACCCAGCCCATCTTGCATACGGTAACCCCGTTCACTCCGAGGGTTATGTCAGTTCCGCTGCCGGCAAACTTCCGTCCGTGGCAGATCAAGGCTTACAGCGGGACGACGGACCCCCAGGATCATTTGTCAAAGTTCTATGCTTCGATGGAGGCGGCGGCAGCCCCGGACGAGGTCAAGTGCGGGTGCTTCCTCGCGACGCTGGAGGGCTCCGCATGCGATTGGTTCAACCGGCTCCCAAAGGGAACCATTGACGATTGGAATACACTGGTGGAGAAGTTCTTGACGCATTTCGCGGCCAACCGAAGGCAAAGGCTACCCTACTCCCACCTGCTCAACGTATGCATCCGCATAGGAGAGAAGGCCCGCGACTTCATAACCCGGTGGGAGAAGGAGGCTAGGGACGTGCACGGGGCGGATGACCAAGCTTTGGTGGCCATGTTCCAAGCAGCCCTTCCCCGTGGAGAGGTTTGGAAGGAGCTTTGCAAGAATCCTCCCCCCACGTACCAAGAAACCCTGGCGCGCGCTAAGTTCTTGGCCTCGGAAGAGTTCGATGATGCTCCCGACTCTGAGGCCGCGCCAGCTAAGCGAGCTCCCGTAGACTCCGGAGAGGCCGCGAAGAAGAGGAAGAAGAAGAAAGACTACACCGCAGGTCCGAGGACGCCCTCGGCTGGTGTGTACTCCGTGGGTGCGCCCATGGGAACGGTTTGAGAGTTGGCCCTCTCCCCGCTCCCATACATAGAAACCTATACGGTGTCAAGCGGCACCAAGTATTGTGAGTATCATCACAACAACACTCATAACACTAAGCAATGCTTCACTCTTCAGAAGGAGATGCAGCGACTCATTGCACGAGGACCCGCTCGGCGAGACGACGGAGCAGCCCCTTCCCGGGGTCCGCCGGAAGGAAGAACTTGGAGAAAGCCAACCGAGCTGGTCGCGGTGGCCACGCAAACAAGGAACCCCGAGAAGAGGCACATTGGGCGAGAGTGCGATGATCTAGATGAGGACGAAGCTCAAAAATATCCAGTGGGATTTATCCACGGAGGAAACATTGGTGGGGACTCCGTCGCTCAAAGGAAGAGGTGGAAGCACATGGCCTTCATCGCCAAAGTTCATCAGGCACCGGAGCCCAAGCTCGGAAGACGAGAGCAAATCCAATTCACGGAGAAGGATCTTCCGAACACGCTAAGCCCCCACCGAGATGCCTTAGTTGTGAAGATAGAGATTAACGATGCCATAGTGCACCGCACCTTGGTGGACACTAGAAGCTCAGTCAACATAATGTATGAGAAAACCTTCCAAGACCTCGGCTTGAACCGCAAGGACTTAAGGCCCGTGTGCACTCCCCTCTCCGGGTTCACGGGGGACTCCATCGAGGCCAAAGGAGTCATCGCTGTACTCGTGATAGTAGGGGATGGTGTGCACAAGGCCAAGTTGAAGATGGAGTTCATGGTTGTAAGCATCAGTTGCGCGCACAACATGATCCTGGGACGGCCCGGCCTTGAGGACTTGGAATGTGTGATCTCCCCATACTACTTGTGTATGAAGTTCCCCACTCCTTCGGGAATCGGGGTGGCAAAGGGAGACCAAAAGTTAGCTCGATCGTGCTACGTCTGCATTACAAAAAAATTGCCAAGGGATGAAACGTTGGTCGTGCACGCACAGGAGGAAATGCGGAAGCTGGAAGCACGGCCAAAGGCCGAGCCCGCCGAGGAGGTCGAGGAGGTGCCGCTCGATCCTCGGACACCCGAGCGGAAGGTGAAGGTCAGGGCGAGCCTAACTAGGAGCCAGCGGAAGCGCTTGGTGGACGTGCTCTCTGCCTACCGCGTGATCTTTGCATGGGGCCCCGGGGACATGCCGGGGGTGGATCCCAAGGTCATATGTCACCGCTTGGCAGACAATCCGGAGGCTAGGCCGGTGAAGCATAAGAAGCGGTTCCTCTCGTCCGAGCGGAGGGAGTTTGTCTCCAAGGAAGTGGCCACCCTCCAGAGCATTGGGCATATCAGAGAGGTCAAGTACCCGGAGTGGATGGCCAATGTGGTGTTGGCACCAAAGGGAAACACGTGGAGGATGTGCATGGACTACACCGATCTAAACAAGGCGTGCCCCATGGATCCGTTCCCACTCTCGAACATCGACCAGCTGGTGGACGAGACGGCGGGCTGCAAGCTCATGAGTTTCATGGATGCCTTCAGCGGGTACCATCAAGTCCGAATGCACCCTAAGGACGAAGGGGAGACGTCTTTCACTACCCCCGGCGGAGTATATTGTTACAAGGTGATGCCTTTTGGACTCAAGAACGCCGGGGCAACCTACGCTAGGATGGTGAGCAAGCTCTTCGCGCCCGTCCTCAGGAAGAGCATGGAAGCGTACGTCGACGACATGATTGTGAAGAGCAAACAAGCGACCACCCATGCGGAAGACTTAGAAGGAGTTTTTAAGATTATGGAAAAGTACAACCTTCGGCTAAACCCGAAGAAGTGCACGTTCGGAGTCCAAGGCGGTAAGTTCTTAGGACACATGGTGAGCAGGCGCGGTATCGAACCCAACCCCGAGAAGGTGCGCGCCATCCTTGACATGGAGGCTCCACGAAATGTCAAGGAGATGCAGCGCTTGACCGGAAAGTTGGCGGCGCTCAGCCGTTTCCTCTCCAAAGTGGCAGATCGAGCCGCTCCCTTCTTCCAAGCCGTGAAAAAGTCTCGAGGATTCGTATGGACGGAAGACTGCTAGCAATCCTTTGAATCTCTGAAATCTTATCTCCTTTCTCCGCCGGTCCTCGCCAAGCCCGAGCCCGGAGAGACCTTGTATCTTTTTTTGGGAGTGTCGCCCAAGGCACTAAGCTCGGTCTTGGTCCGAGAAGAAGGCGGAGCTCAGCACCCAGTGTACTACACGGCGAAGACGCTGAGGGGTGCCGAGCTCAGGTACTTAATGGCCGAAAAGACGGTCCTAGCTGTAGTGTCAACTGTGGAGCGGTTGACGCCCTACTTCCAAGCTCACCCGGTCCAGGTGCTCTCCCAACAGCCCATAGGTGCACTGCTCAGGAGTCCCAACAGCCCATGTCCAAGTGGGCGGTGTTCCTTGGAGCCTTCCAGATCGAGTTCAAGCCAAGGCCGGCGATCAAGGGACAAGCGCTGGCCGACTTCGTGGTAGAGTGCACCGCTCGAGAAGAGTCGAGCCCGGAACTTGAAACCGATGATTGTTGGACAGTTTTTACCGACGGCTCCTCTGCCGCCAAAAACTCGGGGGGTGGAGTGGTAGTCATCGCTCCCGAAGGCTTCAGAGCATATTACTCAGTCCGATTCGGCTTCAAGGCATCGAATAATGAGGCGGAATATGAAGCGCTCTTGTTCGAGCTACGCTTAGTAGCTGGGATGAACGCGACAAAGTTAAGGATAAACTGTGATTCAAAGTTGGTGGTTGGCCACGTCTCGGGAGAGTTCGAGGCGAAGGATGAAAGAATGAAGAAATACAGAGATATGACTTTAGAACTTCTTAAAAGCTTCACCGCATATAGTGTCGAGCAGATATCCTATAGAAGCTGAGCTTAGACACGCCCGAGCACATCAGGCGGATGGCAAACATGGAAGAGCTGTCCGAGCCGAGCATCCTTGCCTTCCCCGTGGCAATGATCTGTGCTCGGCCTAGAGATTGGACGGACGACATGTTGTATTTAGGTGCCCTAGCGGCAATCAAATACCTATGTAACTGTACACTTTATCATGAATGAAAGGCCTTGAAGTATGTTTTATATCTCGTGTAACATAACATAGCTTCAGTCCATAGACGATAGCGCTTCAGTAACATAGATGAGGACTACGATGTTTTGATTATGAGACTGTTACTTCTTGACGAAGGCTATGTCTAGAATATCCCTAGTCGCACTTTATGATAATACGGACATCATAACGTATCAAGACTTATACGTACGAGATGAGATAGTTGCGTCTCATAGACTATAGGTATTGTGATATCTTAATCTGTACGTAGGTGCATATTATATCGATAATATGTGACTGGATTGACCCATCTTGAGAATACTGCATGGATCTACAGTAATGTGTTTATCAGTATTCTCAAATCGACCTTGCTATAACTATCCTCATACTTGAAGTTATTACATTCTCTGATATGTGGGGCCGTATGCTTTGATTCATAACTAATGCTATCTGAAATACTGGTAGACGTACAGTTATGCGTTGGGTATGCCGCTAAGCATATTTAGAGATGTGAATAACAGATACAGGATCTGTCCCTTCTACTGTACAGAAGTATAATGCCAATGGGCCCACTGAATAGTAGGACTTGGGAAAGTGCATGG